GACATTCAGCGCGCACTCGTTTATTCGGGAGTCAGAGTAAATAATTGCAGGTGGTCATCTATACCAATTACTTGATTTAATCCCTCACGTCATACGTCATTCAAAAGCTCATTGTGAGCAGAACATGAAACTTCCGTTAGTTAATTTCTATGACCGGTGATCCATTCGGGTCACGAAGACAGACACGTCAGACAGTGTCTCCAACGTTCCCGATCCTATGCAACCATTTAAGCTTTGGCAGGAAATAGCCCGAGTCTAGAGCAGAGTCCATCCACCCATACACTTGACCCTGGTAATTCTTAGTCGCCCCTGTTGCCGTCGGCCTGTCTGGGAGGCGAGTAGTAGCTATTGCGCCTTCTTTCGGGAAGCCCTCGAAAGCCGCATCCAAACCATCGCAGCTGTGACTTTTCCATCTGTAGAAGCAGCGGATGTGCATCAAGGCTCTCTCGAATATCTAAACTCTGGACCATGTCCAGATGAGTGAGGCCAGAGATTGACTTCAGAAAGCAGGTTTAAACTGTGTGTGCCCAGGAGCGAAGTTTTTCAGTTATGATTCACTACTCATGGCCGCAGGTGACCATCAGGAAGAAGATCGCCTTGAACACTGACAATTCAAAATTCAGACCCAGCTCTGCCTTAGTAACAAGTGTTCGGGCTAGTTCAGGCAACCGTCGCTGGTCATTCCAATTCGACAGTCGATCTCTTTCTCCCACGGAGTCCGACCATTCTATCCATGTATAACGTAAACAGGAGAAGGAACAAAAGGCAACCTAAGCAGACACCGCTGTCAACAGCGAATCAACTTAACGCCATTGACGCTGACGCAGCACCTCCTATCAACATATAATGACTGGGTGGACCGTAGAAACTGACCACAGATCCCACATGTTTGCAGGCACGCCCGCAGCTGCTAGTGCGGTCACAGACTTTCTCCACGTCAACATAGCACATATACACTGGATGAGCGAACTCCCACGATTTCTTAACAATCCGGAGTTAGGCAATGATATGGCAAGAAGTGCTTCAGTTTGACACGGAGACACACTGCCTTTCTTCGATTTTAGATTAAGCAATTCCGCAACACTTCCATTTTAACACCCGTGTGTAGACTTTGCCCGAGAGACTCGATGATGCAATGCAGCGATAACTAGAGCACTCCCTATGGTCTCTTTTCCTAAACAGTAGTACAATTACATCGGTTCTCTAGCCTAATGGTACCGTAGCCGCAGCCATACGTTAGCCACAACACACCTTATTCGCTCAAAACTGTAAACATCTCAGGTCGAATTTCATCGATTTTAACCGCCTTACCACTTTTCAAACTCTCTGCAGATTTCGCGTTATCAGATACCGAAAGATTAATATCCGTTCTCTGATGCAATTTAGACGAGTCTCGCTACAATAATTTTGGGGGCTAGAAAGTTCCTCAAAGCACTCTCTCCATCGCCGGAGCATGTCGTCATCTTCGGTAAGAGGGCGTTTAGACTTGACTTTCAGGTGGCTGACGGTTTGTTCATTTGAAATTTTCCTGAATGAAGATGCCAACTTTAAATCTAAGTTATGATGAAAATTTCATATTGTGCTCACGGAGATTTTTCGAGCAA